ATAATTTATTATAAAAGTATGTCTCAAAGGCATAATTTCTCACGTAGCAAAAATAGAACGACGCTTTCTTCAAGTAACAACTTAAGTTAAAACGCATGATGTCTTCCATTTATCACGCCTTTTACACGAGTTGATTTCAGAAGGCTAATTTATAATTCTTTCAGTTTCGGAAAAGTCTCGTTTTCTTTCACACCAGCATATTCTTTATGAAACGAATCTTCTCATTTACGTTTTCTTCAAATATATATATACTACTGACCTTTGTACAAATGAACACTGAATCACAGTCACTCTCCTAGTAGAGTGACTGTGACTAAACGAACATTTATTTTAGTCCTCGTCAATGAGTTATTGACTACATGAAAGATAACACGTGTTTATAAGTAGCAGCAATCATACATACCCTAGTTTTTTGCCTGCTTCTTTAGATTCGTAAATATCACATTGATGTAGTTCCTTGTCTTCCAACTCTCCAGCAACTTCACATAGGGCTTTGTGAAACTGAAACTGGAGGATGTGACTGACAAAATACCTGAGAATGTATAATTTAATGAAAGACATTTCTCAATAACATTTACTAGAATACAGTTGTGTGTGTATGTTCATGCCTAAAATGCGTGGATAGGCATCTTGATAAGAATTCTAATAAGAATGATATATTCTACATTTTGTCTAAAAAGTGAGGAATCTTTAGACTACAAGGAAGACCACAAAGTTACGTGGTGGATTCAACATACACACCTCAGTATTAAGTGATTCACAAGTTAAAGTTTCAACTTATAAAAACGATATGGTTCCACGCAGATGACAATTAATATGACTGTGTTTTTGGCTCACCCAAATTAACCAAAATTTGTGAAATCTTTATCTAATTAGGTCTTTCAATGAAAAGTGAAAATATAGCTGCAAAGCAGCATTGTGAAGATTTATCTTATAACACATTATTTTTACTGATTATATTGGCAAATATTTGTATATTGTACAATAACTCAGGAATCTTAAAACCAAGCGTAGTATCCCTGTATCTGTGCTTTAAGAAATTGTTTATTATTGTATACACAACCTTTTAGTTTATTTATTTTTTATTGAATAGTTTGGAATTTGGTTTGAACGGGTTCACGGGCGGAAGCGAGAAAAAAAGGTTACATTCTGTTTTACCTTATATATGGTACATCTGCGGGTATGTGGTACTTAGCACCGGGATCAAAATCCATCACCAAATCACTTCTGGTTACAGGAGAAACCACGCCCTGCAGCTCAGTTCTTCAATTAAAAAAAATATTGGACATTGTTAATGTATAATGACGCTATTGATATCCGCCACAAGTCACCGGACATTTATTTTGCTTTTCAAATTGTGTTCCCTTCTGTGTAATGATATTCGAAAATGTGGACGTGATGACATTAGGGAATGAAATGAACACCACCACACCAGTACCTGTGGCGTGTTTATTATAGTCTCCATTCTTAAGTGAATATATGCTTATCAACTGAAACAGATAATAAGACATGTCGCTCTTTGTACCTTAACTGCCACCAGCGTTCATTGTAATTGTATTCAGTGACATTGCCAGCAAACACCTCCCATCTCCACATATCAACCAATAAAGAGAACGGTAAGAAGGCAATCTTCTGCAACGCCATTGACATTAAAAAGTTCAAGTCAGTTTCTGTGAAAAGACAATGTTTCAGTATTTTCCTCATTCCCATATATTATTGATATTCACTGGCACTGACACAGTACTAACCAACTGACGGTGCATGGTTAATTGCTTTGAATTTGTTGCAAGCATTGCTACCGTTGGAGTTACCTACCATTTATGAGACATTCTTTTTCTAATACACATTGTTCATATTTTGATCTTAACGTTTTTCTAGTTTACTAGTTAGTAGGATTGTCGGATTTTGGATATCGTTAAGGTTTGAAATTATTAGCATTATATTCTCATAAATTGTATTATAGTAGTGCACTCACTTTTGTGCTTATATTAGGTATGAACACTTTATTTGTATTTCTCGTTTTTCAGACTTGATTTGATTTATGCACTGTTTGAATTTGTTTTTTACTTGGTCATTATATGTAATTAGCCGCTGAGATCTCGTTCAAAGTGAGAGTTGCACGTAAATTGTTTTTGTTGCTCAATTACCGTCTCATTCTCTTCGTTTGTCGCACATACTAGTAGTTTCTCAAATACCATCGTTACATACACCAGAGGAACAGTCGACAAGATGACGGGAGAGAATAAAAAACGTCTCGTAGCTCTGTTCTCACTACGTGATTTCAGCGGCCATTTTCCACATATTGGCATCATGGCCACATCTGAGTAGTGAACAATGAATGCGTGTCATATGATACAATCACAGTCCCTCTATCACGTGATAGAGGGACTGTGATACAATGTAGTATATTGCAGCCTTAATACTATTGGCTATCCTACGCTATGGTGAGCGTAAACATCGAAACTGAATAAGAACTTTCTAACCTTCGTCCTGAACAAACTCATCCAAGAGACCAACTTTGTATAGATGCTCCGGCGTCTGGACAGACAGAGCTATGGTATCCCCAACTGCTTCGTGGAAGCCAGGATTGGCGCCGTCTCTGTATTCAACTGGATGTGGAGCATACTGGAAAAAATACTGAGTGTGTCCCATCTCGTGATGTATCACAATCAAGTCATTGTGGTTGATTTTTGTACACATCTTAATTCTGTAAGAGTAAGAAAATTAGCATAAAACACTTGGGGTAGGATGGTATACTGTGCGCTCCTTCACTCAATTTCGAACTAGATTCGTATTAGGACAGTGGCGGCGGCACAGGGGGCAGAACATGTTGGAATGTCGCCCCTTCAAAATCAAGCTGAAACCCTTTGTGTCAACCAAATTTGCCCCTCAAAATGCAAGAAATAGCGTTTCGGAGAGTTTATATTTCAAAATTGTTAAGGGGGAGCATGCCCCCGGACCCGGTCGCGCGAGGTTGGTGAGTAGATCCCCCCCCCCATGCACAATTTCGTTCCGCCGCCTCTGTACGTGTTTCTGCGATGTATTTGTTCACCGAAAACCCAATAAAACAAAATATAGTGATTTTTATTGGGGTATGGTAATTATTAAACGTTCAATTTTTAGCTTCCCATTCGAATGTTTGTTCGAATTTCATTCGAGTTACCGCACTGATTTCGTATGTTCCGTATTTCTATATTGGCCACACTTATACTGTAATGTGTATAACGGCTATATATGAAAATTGCTGACAACTTTCTTGATATTGTAACTTTATTGTCGTGCAATGGTTGAAGAGATATCGACGCATTATCGTTATTATATACCTGAAATCTTTTCTGTTGAAAAAATCCCATGCAGAAGCATGGCACGTCACTTCTCTGTCATCTGGCTTCTCGAACATCGAATCTTCCCAAAAGGATTCTGGTGAGGGAATTAATCCAAGTGATACAAAGAATTCTTCAGACAATTGAAACATGTCGTCAACTGTATAACCCTGAAATTGAAGATTACGGATTACGGAGTTGGTAACCAATGCTACCCACTACTGACGTGAAAACTATAAAGCACTAGAAAGTCAGAGTTTTCTCCTTTAAGAAACAAATAATGTGAGTAACTGCCACTGGCACTGTAACTGCGAAAAACGTTATTTTATTGTCTGAAGTGCCATCAATGTCCATTTTTTGGGTTCAGTTTTCAATTAGTTGCCGAGTATTTCCACGCAAAATCTAGCTGAGTACCACCCACCCGGCATTTACGACGGATTTATACTCACCTGTTCAATTAGGGAATCAGTGACATCTATGGTCGGCGAGTCTGGATACGGCATAACTAGGTCTCCAATATTCGCCCAATCTTGGGCCCACATATTTCCTGTATAAACACGCAGCAATACAATATTACGATTGCAATTTCTCGCATTTTATGTGTAAACATTGCAACATATACTACGTTCACACGGCAACATTCTATGGGGGCCGAACTACTGCCTCTCCCACTGATTAACAGGAGATTATCTCCAATGCATTTACACGCTCGGGCCGAACGAGAGCCGAGATCTGCCAGAGTACAATTCAGTTCGATCAGAGCCGAACGGAACATTGTCCTCAAATAATTTAATAGTATGAAAAAAACATGGCTGAAAACGATTTTGGTGCCGTGCTTGTGTTATTTCTTTACATGTCACGATTCTGTTGAGCTGGTAGATAAAAAGAAACTGTATGTCACGAGTCTGAGCATGGAGGTAGAAAAAACAATGCGCTGGTGTTACGATTTAGGTACATTGTACTAGTATCTCGAATAAAAAGGAAACATGGCAGCTAAAATGTGTTACAACCTATTCTTTTAATATTGTCATGCAAAATTAGCATTTTGTAATTGTTCAACTGTTGTGATATGTGTAACAGTTGTCAATCTAAACCTGCTAGGAACACGCCACCGTACCGTGACCGCTTCTACGAGTTTTATCTTTCACTTGGATCTGTTCAGCCGTCCTTTCAAGTTGTTTTCGCATAATTTCATACGCCACTTTTCTGTTTCCCGTTGAGCTATCAAACTATCGCAGTATTTCTTTACTCTTCCAAATAGATATTAGGTCGCGTACCTCTTCGTCGAAGCGGAAATTGCGTGAAATTACGAACGATGTTGTCTCCGCCATAATTGAAATGAGAGGTAACTTGAAAAAGACGATTGAGGGCGTGATTTGGTCTCCAATAGTTGGGCCCGATGCGTATACACGGCCGGGGCCATGTCGGGGCTCAACCATATCGGAGTTTACCCCGAGGATTTATTGGAGCCGAACTTGGCTCGAGCCGGACGCGTATAAACGGCCGTTTTGGCTGGCTCAAGCCGTAGGGCTCAGATAAAATGCTGTCCTGTGAACGTAACAATACAGACTGACGTAATCCTAACCTAATACAGGCCCGTAGCCAGCACTTTTGAATAGGGGGTTCGAAAACAAAAATAATATGTTTGACGTGAAACGTGTGAATTTTATAATATTAAAAAAAGTGTCTTTAAGCTCTGTTACAGACATTTTTATATTCTCGGTTTTAAATTCAATTGGTTTACTTTGTGTTACGTTGGTAAGTTATTTCACATAATATCATTGAACTATTTTACCATATGATTTTAGAGAAGGGGTCCTGAGCCATTCCCCACCCACAGACAAACGCACCGACACCCTAGATCCACTACGGCAAAATGTTGAACACAAAAAAGACAAGACTATACGTATCTTAGCATTATTGTCTAAGCATTTTAAGGTTGGATGCTACTCACTAGTTTTTTCGCTCTTCGCACATGTTAGCGCACATAAAAGTGATACGATTTCATGTCGAAATCTGTCTACAATTATTTATTTTAGTATTTAGTCAATTTTGTATTATGTAATTTTATTTCTGTACAGGGCCACAGCCCATCGTAGAAAATGAAATGAGTAGAAAAGTGCATAGCACGTTTTAAAAACATACAACATCCATATAAACATACGGTACTAAGTTAAGCTGGATTAATATTCATCTAGTCGCTCGAAAACTTTTAAAAGATACAGAACTAGTTGATAAATG